GGGGGGGGGGGCAGTTTTAAAGAAAATATTTTCTAAGTGTCAGTTAATTTTAATTTTCAATTTCAATGTATTTATAGAGCACAATTAAAAACACCTACTATGGACCAATGTGCTGTACAAAATAAATAGACAAAATAAAGACAAAGTCACAAAAAAAACAAAAAATTAATAATAATAATAATAATAATACAAATAAATAAAACAGAGTGAATCGATTTTAAATCATGAATTATAAGAAAAGTGATTTGGCACTATAATAACTTTTATACTGATATTGGCCTTTGTCACAAAACTCAAGCCCCTTTCACTATTATCTGTACTTTTCACGAGTTGTCCTGTGACTGAGCTTCTCCGGCTAAACATTTTAATGTAGTTGTTACAAATGGTAAATGAACGTGTTTAATGGAGAATCTTGTAATGTCGCACGTGTCTCAGGGCCTTGGTGGGCTGTGAATCACTGCGAGCGTCTCATCTCTAAATAAAACACACAGCCTGTCACAGTGCTGGAGGTGGCAACATGAGAGAGAGCGTTTTGGCAGGACAACTAGATAAATACCAGACGTAACTCCGGCTGCTATGACAATATCACTTTTCCAATTCCGGCAATAACCACATTCCTAAAAGCAAATGTGAAATCACATTTGGAATAAAGCGCCAACAAGCTGCGTCCAAGACTGAAAATGTAAAGTTCTGAATTTGGAGGCTCTTTAATTGTTCTTTTGTGTATATCAAGCAAACTACAACTGGTGATATCTTTGTAAAACTATTATTTAGAGATATTGCTAAAACAGACAAACAAACAAATAAATAAATACATATACTTTGACCCTCCAACCAATCAAAAGTATATTGCAGAACAAAAGCAAAGCAGCAACAATGCCCATTTAAAATGGCAATTTCTTCCGCTAGCTGCGTGCACAGACAAGCACGCGGCCGAGGCGGAAATGCTGCAGTGGTGTGGAGGGAAACCCCGTCCGTGCACACAGCACAGCACACCACATCTTGGAAAGATCAAATGTGAGTGTGTGTGTGTGTGTGTGTATGCTTGTTTGTATGTTTGAATGCAAGTGGATGTGAGAGTATGCAAGTGTGATTTTAAAGGAAAATATCATAGTTGCTTTCCACTGCTTGTTGCGGCTACATTATAGCCCACCAGGCACTGTCAATGAACAACTATATGCATTTAACATTACATTTATGCATTTAGGCAGATGCTTTTAGCAAAAACGACATCAAGGTATATACACTTTAGCAAGTTGTTCCTTAGAAATTAAACTCGTGACCCCAAAGGTTGGCTGCTATGAACTTGTGAAAAAGAAGTGTGCTTAAAGGGATGGATCACCCAAAAATGAAAAATCTGTCATCATTTACTCACCCTCAAGTTGTTCCAAACCTGTATGAGTTTCTTTCTTCTGCTGAACATAAAAGACGATTGCAAATAATACTCGTAACCAAGCAGTTGCTGGTAGCCATTGATTTCCATAGTATGGAAAAAAAAAGTACTATGGAAGTTAGTGAGAACCAGAAACTGTTTGGTTACCATCATTCTTCAAACATATGTGTGTTTGTGTGTGTGTGTGTGCGCGTGTGTCTGAACTACTTTCAGATACTATAATATTAATGAAATAAAAGGCTAATTGTCACGGTCAAGGTGTGTGGAGGCAGGCAGGATGACGAGGACGACAAGGATTCAAATAAGGATGTTTAATGTAGAGACAACAAGGCAGATCCGGGTAGATGAGACACACACACTCGGGGTAACATTCACAATAACCGACAATACTAGAATACACGAGACAGGAACTTATAGGGCAGATAACGAGGGGCAGACAGGTGAGCACACTGAGGATAATTAACTAATGATTGAACGGGCTAAACCAACAAAAGGGGAAGAAACCACAACAAACAGTCCACAGGGGTGTTACACTAATAATGTCAAATTAATTTTTTTAATTTTGGTAAGCTTTTAGACATACAAGTTTCAATAGAAATTACATTAAAGTATATTTTAGTTTACCATAAAAGCTTATCAGTACATTCAGCTGTACACTTTAAACATATTTAACAATTTATCCATCTTTAACCAAAGATAATAGAATTATAAAATTACATATAGGCTAAGGACCCTACTTAAGTTAAACTAACTGCATTTAATAGAAATTTAAACTATAATACAGCTTCATTTAATGTGTCTGAAAACATTACATTCAGTTCACACTTAAGTATATTCATTTAAAGTATATTATTTCTGTAACAAGTACTGTTTTTTAAAGTATGTTAAAGTGTACTTTCTTTTACAAGTTATTCACCCTCATGTCATTCCTCATAACCCTCATAACTTCCTTTCCTCTGCAGAACACAAAAGAAGATATTATAAAAAAACAAAAAACAAAAAACAAACACTGATTTTGGACACCACTGACTTTCATTTTGTGGACAAAAACAGTTGAAACATCAGCATCTTTAAAGTTCTACTCAAGAAAGAAAATCATACAGGTTTGGAATCCCTTTAAGATTTGTTCAGCGAAGATTTGTGCATAACTAATAGAAACTGATGTAAGTGCTGATTGTAAGATAGAGAGGTGTGTGTGTGCATGTGACTCATTGCGTTTTGTGTGTGAGGATGTCTGGTTTCTCTCTAATTGAGTGTTAGAAATGGAGTAAAGTGACCCGGCATTATGAGGTCATGTGACCTTTAGGCCTCTGGACCTGAGAACATGAGGAGATAATGTTCCGCCTCTGCAGATCACAACCCCTGTTTGACCCCACTACAGCCAGGGCATCACACACACACCTGTACCTGGCCACTAGCAGACTCTCATCATCATCATCATCAGATGTAACACATATTCAACAGTCCTCATGCAGGGGAGCCTGCAGATTTCATCTGAGGCTATGCACATTTTTTAATCATTATTATTATTTTTAATAACAACACTAAAAAGTTTAAAAATTACATATTTGTTCATGATCAAAAGATCAAGTCAAAGAAAGGGTTTAATTTTCTTAGCTTAGAGTAGCCTAGCATTCACATAGCTAACATTTTTGCACTTCTTTTAGACATGAAACTCTTCAGACCAAACGATCAGCATCGGCACTCCTGAGCAGAACATAGGTATCTCTAAACACATTTTAAACATTACACGAAAATGGCAAAAACCAATGCAGTGGTCAAAGACATACAAAGTTCTGTCTTGAAACTCTAGATGGCGCAGGCCGATAGGTTCTAACCCAATCTGATAATCACATCATTATTCACACGGTGCAGCTGATTGGTTTCTTTTCACGTCAGCAGCCAATGAGCTTGCTGCTCAACATTCAAATACTTGGCTAGTGCTTACTTTAGCAGTTGCAGCACGCTTCAGAAACCCTCCACCTTCCCCAGCTCCACCTGTATAGATCTTCTACGGTGTTATTTCATGTATGTTATATGTGCAGCAGCAGTATTTTCTACATGCTCACAGCAGCATGTCTGTGGATGTATTGGCAGTAGCAAGTCTCGGTAACGTAGCAGATTTATTCTGCCAAGACCAAACACATTAACATTGCCATGTATATTTCCACGCTAAACTCTCCTAGAGTTGTCATGACAGGGATTCTTATACACTGAAAAAATGATT